TGGGTCGTTCCGCTGTTATGGGCAATGCATTATCAATAGGCCTCAGTGCCATTTTCTTGAAAATTTCTTTAAGACTTCAATTGCTACTTTGAAGTTATAGATAGTGAGAGAGAGAATTTGAGTCAGATGAAAATGGCTACGGATTTAAAAAGAAGAAAGTGAGAAGATTAGGCAACGGTCATTTGTGAATTTGAATTTTCATGGAATGGGCAAAAACGGAAATAAATATTGTTCACAACGGTCACTTTTTAAATCAACCTTTATCATTCTACTAATTTTCCTATGTATCCTTTGTCAACTAAAGTCTAAAGTCACAATAAGGAGAATATTTTCAAACATCGTGTAAGAATTACGCAATGGGAATAAATATATAAGAAATGGGACAAGAAAGTTTATAACGTTAGGGTCGCGCCACAAATGGTCATGCTGCTATAGATCGAATTTCTTTTAGAGGAAATTATACATACACCTGTAATTAGATTTCCAATTTCACAAGTAAGGTCACAAGTTTAACATTTCAAAATTCAAGTTTTAATTAATAATTTAAAAAAAAAATTATTTTTATTTTTATATCTATATACAATAAAATAATTTGACCCAACCAAACTCTAAATCATTTGAACTAATTCTTCCCCTCCACCCTCTCTCCTCCCACCACTCGTCGTCTCCATTTCTCTCACATCTCTCCACAGCGCCACCTCCTCCCACCACCACCGCATTCACTACCCAACTGTTTCTTCCTCACTATGGCGAAGGTGACTGTAGGTGAAGGGGACGACACTCCACCATTTTTTTTTCCTTATCTTTGCTTTTTCTCTGTCGGATCTGCATCTGCATCTCCCTCTTAACGAAGTTGTCAACACCCTCTCGCTAGGCCGAATCTGAATTTCTCTCTCTCCCTCTCCCTATTCCTCTCCTCAACCGATCTGGATCTCTCTCTCCACCATGCTCCGGTCGTCGTGCCCACTTCTCGATTACTGTAGTGGCGACGACGTGGATCTAGTGTTTCTCCGCTGCTCATATTTAATTTCTGTTGGCCTTGGATTTTGATTTCGCCTTGCTGATGGATAGCAAATTCTGGTGGTGTTTGTAATTGGGTGGTGGTGGTGTAATGTGCGATGGCACGACAGTGGTAATGTTGGCGGTACTGGTGAGATTGGTGGTTGTGGTACGATGGCGGTGGTTACCTGTGACTTATTATTTGGTTATTTGTGCGCTGTGAAGTGTGGATCTGAAGTTGGTGACGGCGGTAATTGTGTGTGATTTATATGTTTGCTTTGGCTGTGCGTGTGGCGATGGGGATTTTGGGGTGGTGATAGTGGTGTTGGAGATGGTGCCGCTGGTGGAGGCAGAGGCGATGGTCACAAATGATTTTGGTGGTGGTCACAAATAATTTGGTTATTTGTGACCACTAATTTGGTCGGTTGGCGACTAATAAACGATATGTGACCAATGAATTAGATAAAATATGACCAACACATGATTTGTAACCTAAAAATTATTAATTTGTGACCAATAATTTGACAAATTGTGACCTAAATATAATTTATGATGTTTGTGCCAGTAAATAAGTATTGTGACTTATAAATTTTGTGATTTATGACCGACGAACAAATTATGACTTTTAAATTTTAAGTTGTGACGGATAAATAAATTGTGATCTATGAAAATTTTGAATTGTGACGTAAAAATTTACGTCGGAGTTGGAACACTTACCGGAATCGGAACAGTCGTCGGAACAAAGTGGCGGCAGAACGATCATCGGAATAGTCGCCGGAATCGGAGCAGTCGTCCGAACGATCTCAGAGATAAGTTGTTATAGGGACGGTAGGGGTGGTGGAGGTGGAGTGTGGTAATTATATTATATTAGAATTAAAAATTTAATAATAAATTGATTTAATAANTGTGTGATTTGACACAAAGAATACATTTTTTGCTAGAATAATGGTTACCAAAAGGTGCATAAATATTTAATAATTCATTATTTCATAAATAAAAAATTAAAAAACCCGATTTATGAAATTTGGAACTTGTTTTTGTATTTTGAAATGGTGTAAAGTAATTACCTTAGAAATGTGTTGTTCCCTTTCTTTTATATTAAGACTTTGTCTGGTAGAGCTTTTTCTCATCAATTATTAGCACTTTTTTGACCGTTTAAATGTCGGGTGAGACACAATGTGAGAGCAAAAGTCAACAAAGATGGCTGGTTTGGGCTTGCAACGGTCCAAAAATTGATTTTTCTCTCCTGAAAAGCTACTCCAGACAAGTCCTAAAGGTATATCAATTAGAAAGGAAATAAAATCTGATCATACTATGTTTGAATTTATTAAATATGTTTCTCTCATCTCTTCTTCCAATTTTGCTACAAATTAATTATTCCAAGGATAATTATATTGTCGCTACAAAATTTATTCGTTGCACCACAATTTTAATTAATATTTTGATTTACTTAAATGGTTCTAAGTAAACTTACGTAATTAACCACACTTTTACATATATATTTTAACATTAAATAAATTTTATAGACACCACAATTATTAACAATTCATTATTTCCTTCGAGGATGTGGTGGAAGGTGAAAATTATATTTATTAAAAATATGTTTTTATTGTGGTGTGGATATAATGTGATGTGTTAAGTAATTTTTGTGGTGGTAATATAATTACCCTTATTCAAATGGGAACAATACATTTCTAAGGTATTTACTTTATACCATTTCAAAAATACAAAAACAAGTTTCAAATTTCATAAATCAGGTTTTTTAATTTTTTATTTATGAAATAATGAATTGTTAAATCAATTTATTATTAAATATTTAATTCTAATATAATATAATTACCCAACCCCACATTCACCACCCTTATCGCTCTGGTGA